CTTTCTCTTTAACCTTACAAGAATGGATCCAAATGCTATTACTCTTGCGTAGCCCACTGCTGCCCGCCACCACCCTACCATACCAATGAGGAGTATTATACAAGAGCCGCAAAATCACTGGAGTTGCTGATTGATTGCACATAAGCATATCATTCTCAATGTTCCTTTCACCCGCAAACAGCCTGCCTTGTGTGGGAAGAACTGCTTTTTGGATTCACTCTCAACTGACTTAGCTTTAAAGAAGGGACAGTTTGACCATGCAAATTTGAGAACAGACCTTATCCTGAAGCAACCCTTTAAATGTGATTAAAAGTGCCTGCTCAATCACAAGGTCTGCTTCCTGAGTCTTGGAATTTGCCACGCAATAGCTGAGACTACTTGCATTGGATGGACGAGGTCAATGCCAATTATCAATGCAATTCCCCAGCTGTCAGGAAGTGTGACACAAAAGCGCGCGTTCCACTTTCCCACTTGGATTTTTCCTCACACAAAGTTAAGAGCTCTGTGGTGAATGGTATAAAACCTGTGTGTACCTCCTCCACACCAGCCTTTTTCTAATTAACTTATTTTTTTATATATATTGACATTTTCAGAATCTTCCAGTCAGCTGACTATGCATCATTAAGAAGTAATTTACATTTTTGCCCAGATTGATTCTACACAGGGTTATGGATCTGTGTGTTTTATATCCAGACCCTTTTTTTTAAAGGGACCTTGAGCAGTTCCATCAGTGTTATGGTAATACAACCAACTGCATGGTATTTGCTTCAAACAAAATGTATATTTTTGACAAGCTTACGTACACGCTTAAGTAAGGCATACACATAGCAATTCATCAAACTGCTCTTCCTCTATCTTAAACGCTTTCACTTTGCAGATCAGTCAGTTTAGGAGTTTGCAGATCACATCTGTAACACTGTGACACACAGCCAAACATTTTGTGACCCTCTAAGACCAAATTCTTACCAAAGTCTCATACTTAATCCTTAAAAGACTTTGTAGCATTAATTAATTAATGGTGCATTAAAGCCAATGGAGCAGACAGACAAGGTGAAACAAAAGCATTATTTAACACTATGAGGTCTGCATTGGCATTTCTCCACCAAAAAGCAGACAATCCTTTTATTATAAGAAAATTGTGAAGTTCTGCAAATACTTTCAAAGAAACACATTTCGCCTACAAAGTATACAGTCAATTCACTTTACAATATATTCTGCAAAGAGCTTTGGGATGCCTTGAAGATGTAATAAGGCGCTATATCACATGCAATGAGTATTATTACTATTATTATACTTCCATGACTTTGACACCCTCAAAAACTGACCTTTTTGTGTCAATTTCAATCAAAATAATTGCTTATGAAAACAATTAGTACAGTAGTATCAGTTTTGATTATTATTGTGCTTTCCTGTTTACCAGTCTGGTAAAGGCACTTGCAGATTGATAGTTCCTTTATTTGAATACCATGCAATCAAAGGCCATCTATATGAGATGCTAAATTGGATTAAGAAAGTAAACCAAGAATCCCACTTTCAGATACAGCAACGCAGAAAGACACAATGTCACAGGTTCCTGTGAAGGGCAATTTAGGACAAATAACAGAAATATTTTGTTTTCTGCACATATCTGAAAGTTAGAGAAATGAACAGTTGTATTGGGTAACCAAGAAGCATGGTAGAGGCCAGGACTCTGGACTTATTTAAGAAAAAGCATTGAAGCTGTAATAGGAGTGTAGTTGGGTGGGTATTTTGGAAGGGTATGATCAGATGGGTTCAGAAGATGCACGATCAGAAGATGGCCTTCTTCATCCAAACCTCTCTTGTGAGGTGCAATAATGGAGGCAGAGAGTGGACGGTGATTAAGGGCTAAACCTCCCTTTTTCTGTGATCTTCTTCTACCCTCATCTTCTGTTCGTGCATTCCACTCCCCCACCATCATTAATACCTTAGTCTTTAACAACTACGTCCCACCCTTTGGAACTCCCTTCCTCTCCCCCACCATCTCAACCAGTGGATAATCTTTAATTCCTGCCTAAAAAAGCTACCTCTTTAATCGCACTTACGGTCAACTCCCCGACTCCTCCTCCCCTGCTCAGTGACCGACACCAGATTACAAAATATGTGTTATGGTTTGAAATTTAGCCAAATGGATCTCAACAGTGTTTTCCTGTACATTCTTTTGTCCATTGATATGGTCTCAGCAGGCACGAATAGAACCTCACATTGCCATGTAACTCCTACGAGGACCTTTATATTTCATTGACATAATGTGATGGTAAATAGTCAGGCTCCTCTACAACACGAACAGGCCCTTTTAAGAAAATTCTTGTTCCTGGTTCTTTAAAGGTACCTGTCCACCATCCAAACAACATTTGACAGCCATGGTATCAAGCAAACAAAGCACTACAGTTCCGATAACGCCCTGTGCTTCAGCCTCTCTTACTTGTTAGATTCGAACTATAATGCCCACTTTCCTACGCTTCATTCTCTTTGCTTCGTGAAGAATGCCAGCCTCAAAGGTTCATTTTTCAATCATATTTCTATTGCGTTGCCATCTGCTGGAAGCAGCTTTACACTACAGTGTTTTTTTTCAAAATATCAACGTCACGAACAAATCACTTCCCATTGAAAGTGTGAAACTGAACCCGATTTCCCATCTTGTGAAGCCCAATGGTCACACACCACTGTACTTCCGGGTCAAATGCATTGAAATGAGCATAGCATCAAAGCACAAGTTCATCACTAACAGTTTTGGCTAAAGTGAAATCAAATTCTTTTTTCCACATTTATTTATAAATGCCACCACTTTACTTTAAAAGACTATGTTACAGATATGTTTTATTTTATTCTTAAATTACAGTATTGGTATTATCAAAAAAGACAATTTTCTAATAATAAATGCACCATATAATGAAGACACACAAAAGATCTGACTGACAAACACCAGCATTCTGCACGGAAGGTACATGCAAGCCATTGGATTTCAGCACCAGCAAATGCCTGCATAATCCCACATTCAGGTCAGGATTATTGAACATGTGAAATGATGATTCAGTTGCCTAAAATGTTAGGCCTTGCCCACGTATCTGGCTTCATTGTTTTCCTTGCTGTTCCTTGTGGCTCAAATTGGCATTGGGCCTTTTTCTCTCCCAGAAAGTGAAAGTGTTGCCAGCAGCTGGAGAACTTTGTGAACGAGGGAGTGAATGAAGAGCAATTTGTGTGAGGGTTAGAGCAAGTAAAACAATTCAATGTGTACGACAACTGACCCACTCACTGCTAGAAAGTGCCTTGTCCTCCAACACATCCAATGTGAGATATTGGATATTTGAGAGAAGGGAAAGATGAAGGTGTTTTAAATGAAGCGCAAGTCCTAGATGACTTCTCTAAGTCTTCTTGCCTAACCCAATGATAATTAGACTTTAGCACTCCAACTGCTGGCCCAGCCAGGAAGATTTTAACCTAAATGTTCTGGTCTGTTTGGATGAGTGATGCACTGGGCAGTACCTTACTCCACGAAGCTTGTAGAGAAGCAACAGGATTTTTATTCTCCCTGACCCCTGCTGGAAAGTTTTGGGTTTCGGCGACCTGAGAAATGAGGCAGTGGTGGAGTTGGACAATGTTGAGGGGCGGGGAGAAGCAGAGCGGATCATGGTACGAATGTGGAGGAGAAAGGACAGTTGAGGGTCAAACAAGATGTCAGGATATCAGGTACTCGGAGGATTAGGATTGGCTACATAAAAATCTTAACACTCCTTTTCCAGGCTCGCACATGAAGAACATGGGGAGAGGTCAGAGAGGAGAAACGGAGAAACCTGGGGGGAGGGGAGGAAGGAAATAAAGGATAACTAACTAACCCAACTAATTCTTAACGTGCAGGCTCTACATCTTCACCGCTGAGGCTGACTCAATCAACCTATTATTATATTTATATAATTATGCCTAGCCTGAACACAGCCTGTGCGTAATCAGCAATACACTTGAATTAAAAAGAATTCAAGGAATAGGTCAATGAGACAAAATTGGCTCAATGGGGATTGTTACAATTCATATGCCATTCTGCAACAAAGGGGAGCTGATGTTGGATAGTCATTTTCAAGCAATGAATGAGTTGTAAGCACACAGACCTCAATGAAACTTGCCAGGAAACAGCTTCGAACGTGCCATGTATCTGCAATGTATCTGCTCGTACTCTTGTCAGGCTTTTAGATTTTTGTTTCCAATAAAGACATAATTGTGATCACATTGCAACAATATTTCAATGAAACAGTCATTGGGACACAGCTAAGATTCAGTGGGAAAATATCAACTCAATCAAGAATGACAAGAATAACATTTCAGATTACCTGCTTACCTTAAACATTATTTTGAGAAAACTAACTACAAATCCAAAACTTTGTTTTCTCTAAAATAGAGACACAGAATGAAAACAGAGTGGATGTAATTATCTCCAGTTTCTTTTAGCTTTCACACCAGGCGTCATTAACTGCTATTAAGAAAAATAAAAACTAAACAATAATTTAAAAATGTATCACAGTAATTGAATTAAATGCTAATACCACAGACTCCAGAGGTACCTGTCTTATTGAGACACTTGTGCTCAGTGCTTTAACTCCACTTCCATATAATGACAAACAGATTGGTTAAACCCATCAATCTACTCGGCCCAGAGACACGACAGCACAGGTCTGTGACATCGCAAACAATCCAACAAGGTCTAATTTGCACGATTTGTAAATAGGATTCCTAAGTATTAAATCCCACACAGATGCAAATGTGCCTCATGGCGACCCTCCGGAAATCCGCTTAGATGCTGATCTTCCTTTAGGACCCCCCCATAGCCGCAGACTGACATAATGAATGTCAGAAATGATGTCGGATTCCATGCTAAATTGCAGTGAGTGAGACAAGTTTGGGTATGTGTAGGATGCAATATTTGTGAAGGTTTACACAAATCCCTGCATGTGTACAAAGAAGGTTGCTTTTGAGCTATTACAATTCACCTGGAAGAACAATCAAAGGCAGCATCTGTCTTCTCCTCGTGGTTGGTAGCATGATCTCCTCACACACCCTGTCAACACAGATTGCTGTAATTAGTGCAAAGTATTGCATGCACTGTTCCTTTAACTGAACATACAGTAAACCCCTGGCTTATCAGACTCCAGATGTCCAAAACTTATAATTAGCTGGAAAAGGCCCCAAACCCCATTTTTTATTTTAATTTCTGCAGGTCCATGCACATGTAAACTTCTAAGTCCTAACTGTCCTAGCACACACCAATACCGTGCTGAGCCTCCACAGTGGCCCGGGATATCTACTTTGACTCAGATTATTTGAATCCCATTTATTCGCTATCTTCTTCTCGTGGGATCCAAAGAATTACACTGCCAGTACCGGCATTTTCCAGCATTTTTGAAAGATGCGAGTACTGGCATCATAGCTACACTTAGATAGAAGTTCTGCTCAGTGGCCCAGGTCTCCTGCCCCATTCATGTGGCTAGCCAGGGTTTAAGTATATATCCTTGAATCCAAATCAGGATTATATTGAGAAGAGCAAGGTTTTACAGGAATCTCATTGTGCAGAGATCAAACCCAATATTGGTTCAAATGGTTATGTTCATCAGTTGGGTTTTTTTCCGATTTTATTTTGATTCATAATTATGAAATGCAGTAAAATAGTAGTGCACTCTCATATTGATTAAAAAAGGGGCATTGTCAAGGCAAAAGAATCACCTTTAGGAATTATTTTCTGGAGGGCCTTTTGTGTGAGGTTCTAGAGGACAGCCAACAACTTGGAAATACAATACTAAATTACATTTGTATAGTGTTTTTCACATCAGGAGGAAACAGTTTTAACGCTTTTTCATTCTCCTAACATTCAGCCACTTTGCTGCAATGTCATACTATGAGATACTTGTAGGTTATGGTTTTAAGCCTCACACCAAGATTTGAATTCATAATCTTAGCTGACATTCCAGTGCACTATGATGGAGGTGTTCCTCAGTTTTTAGATGAGACGTTAAAATTAAAGTGTTGTCTGTTGGTTCAGATGGGTGAACACATTCAGAAACAGCTTGATGTCATGATGTGAGGACTGCCGAATTGATATTCTGGAAGTTTTAGATCAATGTCTTTAGCTGAGCCTCTCTATGATCACAGCAAAAACAGGATTCAACCTAAACCTGGTATCTCCGTGTGATCATGGCAGAGCAGTCAATTGGGGCATTTAAAAAAGAATCAGAAAACAACATACAGGTGTGGGAAAGGGCAGAGAATTGGGATTAAGGCAGATGTCTTTGCTCCCAGCAGTCCGAAATACTATCCTGTGTGAAGAGCGCTACATAAATGTAAATTGTTGGGCTTGGCGGAGCAAACACCAGCATAAAATTATGGGCTGAATGGTCTCCTTCCCTGTCTTACATTTCTGTGGTTCTTTTCTGGTTGTGGGACAATGTTGGTGCTGATTAGCTACTGCTTTTGCCAACATAACAGAAACGACACTTCAAAAAGCCACTTATTGTGTGAAGTGCTTTGAGGCAATTTTGACTTGACAAAGCGATATATGAAATGCAAGTACTCATTGTTTTTCTGTGTTGTCACAGAACTCCCAATGGTGCAGAAAGAAGTATGTGTTGTATGTTTTTCAGGGTCATTCTGAAAAGTTTGCCATATGTCTGTCTAACTTAACAGCCCAATGGGTTTCCCTTCTTTGTCAGACATTCAAATTCCCTTTCAGGGACATGCTGCCAGAGGAATAATGATAGCTTGAGCTTGCACTACACAAGATATTCCATACAAGAACACTCAAAGACTTCTCTGCACAAACCCCCCCCCCACATACTATATTTTTAGTTCATAGTTGGAGCTCCTCCAACTAATGATTCACCACACAGAAGGTAAGATCCTTAAAGGTAAGTGTACATTACATGTAAATCATTATATAAGATTCAGAATCATGTGGAAGCTGAGAAACGAGCCCAGATGTGAATGTGTAGAACCTAACCAAACACTTGAACACTACTGACGCAGTGGCCCTGTCAACATCCTGTACCTCCAAGGAACTATTTGAGATAAAGGACAACACCAGATCCTGGCTGCGGTTTTGGAGCGACAAGCTATGGTGATGAACAGGCCAAATGCCACCTCCTGCAGTGAAATTAGTCAGACTTGCTTTAGGATTACAGTCAGAATGAGGGGAGGATTGAATACATTTGTTGATGGTTGTACAATGGAGATTTCTTTGGGCATCTTTCTGTGGGTGGGACAAAAGTGGCTGTGCTAGAGATCTGCACTTTGGAGAAAAATAAAATTCTGCTGGAAATACTTCTCTTGGGCCACTGTGGAACATTTTACGTTAATATCCTACCAAACAGTCTTTCTCACACAAATATTTCAATAAAATTATTCCAGAGGTGAATACAGTGTTAACCGGTCAAGCAAACAAGGTAACATTTATGTCAAAGTACGGTGATTCAAAAGGTTGGAAAATTCCAGTGCCAACCAGCCAAAGACAGGTTAGTTCCTCTCCTGTTAAAGAGAACTGAGTGGAAGGGGCTTGACCTTTTTGCAGTTACTATGCTTCCATTTATCCTTCATGCTCCAAACCTTTCCTACTTCATTTACTGTATTCTCACTGCATCTAAGCATTTGCAGCTTTCTGAACCCCAAAGCCAAGTTTCTCACATGTTCCAAAGAACTATTAGACTCTTTTTCGGGATTCATTTAATCTGGATACAGCTCAAGTGACAGCTTTTTAGTAAGGGGGAAGTTAACTCAGCTACAGTCTAACAAAACAAAATCCGAGGTGCCAAGCCAACAGGAGCAGTGGGAATGAAACAGCAGGAATTGGAGGCCGGCACTCCCCATCTGCTGCTCACAGAACAACACTGACAGGTTTGTGAGATCTCTGCAACCTTCCAGAGCAAATGGAAGCCTTGTGACCCTGGATCATGAAATAGAGACAAGGGGAAAAAAAGCATAGGAGAAATAAAAATTCTTGACAAAGTTGCTGCACCAAAATAGACAACCCACTCATGATTCATTTTTAGGTCTTCTAGAGAGAATAGGAATACAGAAATACTGCATTCTGCGCTTCCACACAATCTAATTCTGTGAAGGAAAACTGTGGTGCAGTAATATAACGAAATATTGATAGCTCTTCCATCAGGATCTGGTTTGTTAATTATATCAGTTACTAAACAATGGTGCAATTCCTTGTGTGAGTGACAGGTATCTTTTGCATTTATTAAGCGACATTGTTGTACTTAGTGACTGTAATGGTGAGAAAATATTCAGTGAGGTCCTTGCTCATGATTAATAGACAGTCTGTTGTGGTGAGGCTCAGGAGTTCAGAAGAGTATCATAATCAAGAGATTTCTTTTGCTGGAAGATTTGAGGCTGCATTACTGTGGCTTTGAAGTGACAAGGACACAATGAAGGCATCAGATTCATGTGGCACACACCTATTTTCTTCATTCATTAATCACAAGATTTGTACAATATTAAACATTATTTGCCAACGTTACGTATACAGAAACTGCACATTTTGAAAGTAAAACGAAGATTGTGTATATATGAAGAGTAAAGAAAGAAGTACCTTTGTACGCAGTCAAATTAAAATTTAGAACACAGAATAAATACAGTATTTTAAATTTTCAGCCTCTCATCTTTCTCTCTTGCACCTGACAGGTAGCACAATCACAGGGAGCAACTGTGTAAATGGAGTCATGCAGCATGTGAAGAATAAATAAGATTATGGATGGGGTGACAATAAATGCTTAATAAAATGCCCGAGTGGAGAGGAAGCTTTCCACATTCATTGGGTTGTGAAGATGTATTTGAGTAAGCCCTGCTCTATTAATAGAGTAAGCCCTGTATTAATAATCCTTGCATTTTATATATCACCTATAACATCGTGCTGTCAAGTATATTTGTTGGAATAATTATACTAATTGAATTGTGTTGCTTTACCTTTGCGTTGCTTCATGAATTATGCACCAAACAAAAATACTCTTGTTTATGTGGCAAATACCTGCAATAAACTTTATTAACCCTTAGATTCCCAGCAGGTCTACAAAAAATCAGAGTTAAACAAAAATGCGGATAAGTGAAATCCAGAAATTGTTGTCCAGTTAGATATTAGGAAGGTGATCAATAAGACAAGAGGCTGCGACCAAAATAAACGTTCATGTTGCAAAGATAGTAAAGTGGATGGAGGAATGTTTGAAAGGCAGGGTAGGTTTGTAGAAATTGAAGTTCAAAATAGTTAGAATGTAAAATGGTGCACTTTTGGAGAATTAAATAGGCAGCAGAATTATACCCTGGATGGTTGAATTCTTCATTGGAATGGAGGATCAGAGAGACTTGTGGGTACAAATACACAGGTTGCGAAAAATGAGATTGCAGGTAGAGAAGGCCATCAAACGGGCAAATAAGATTATGGGTTTCATACACAAAAGTAAGGAAATGATGATAAACTGTATAAGCTACTGGTGAAGTCATCGCTGGAATATTATGTGCAGTTTTGGACACCACAATGCTCATTTGAACTATGGAGAAGATGCAGTAAGGTTTAGAAGGATAATATTGGAGATGAAAGGATATAGCCTGAGGAGAGACAAAAGGCCCTTCCTGTTGGAGCAGGGAAAAAAGGGTTTGCAAAACTTAATCATAAAAATAACTTTCTGCTGGTACAGGATTTGAGGACAAATGGGCATGAATTCAAGATTTTGTCTTGGGGAATAAAAGGAGAGATTCAGGTGAACTTCTTCTCCCAGAGGCTGTCATGGTATGGAATGATTTTCCAGGCATGACTGTTAAAACATCAGTTGGAACACTGAAACAAATTTGGATAATTCTCATGCAGAAAAAGGATTTTACATGGATGGATCAAGAATGGGGAATTAGGATTAGGATGGGTAGGTTTGTGGAAGAGCAAACACAGATATGAAAAAATGGGCCTAATGGCCTCCCACTGTTCCATACATTTCTATGGTTCTTTAGTCTGCCCAGTTCAATAAGTTTTCGGTTTACACACTGGAATGCTGAAAACAGTACTTCTGACAAAAATCA